ACACGAGGGAGTCTGTGCATCGATCGGTAGAGTTAGCTCTTAAATTACCCTTTGTCCAAAACAAACTTAACTAAGCCAAACTAATTGTAGATGCACTAATCTAATAATTTAATCTTCCAGCAATATAAAGATTTGTAATCGCGAAAATTCGCGAGTGTGAGAATATGAAAAAGGAGCAACGTTAAGTCTGAATCACGATTTTGTACTTCTATCAAAAATGGCTCTAGGTAAGACAAATTAAGATTGCGTATAGAAGTGTTAAATTTTAAAGAACTGACAACGAATAGCTAAATAGCTCCTAAGATATTTATTCTACCAATTATATTGGCTAGAACTAAAAAATATTACAGGCACTCATAAATAAAAACGAAGTCGGGATATATCATTTCCACTGAACCTAAGCAGCTAAGATAAGCACAATGAGAAATATAATCAGACAGCAGTCGGACAAAATATCATATGTTCTTAAAATACAAACAGAATAAATGCAGTTATATAATTATTCGTACATACCAAGCTTAAGGGCCTCTTCATAACGGGAATTCTTGTAATATAGCGCCATTAACTTTGCTTCCAAGGCCTGGCGAAGAAATACACGTTTCTCTGCATTAGCCCATTCAATGCAATCCTTGCACAGTTCTATTTCACGGCCCGTTCCACCCTCTAACTCCAAAAACAAATTAACTAATTCCCGCACCAATCTTCCAGCTTTTGCTTTACTTATTTGTTGCAAGAACTGACGAGTTGACTGAATAAGGTCGGCAAGCTCTAAATAAAAAAGTAATATCAAATTTAATTCATCATAGATTGACAAATAAGCAAATAAAATGTAAAACGGGACAAATGTAACTTGGTGCATTTTTAGTTTTAGCCAAAAGATTTCCTAGATCAAGTATGGACTGCTCCTTTTCTTTGATTGCAGATTCATCCGTAGAATCAACTTCGGAAGATGCTATTAAGGCCAGTTATAGTATAACTAAAATATACCAATTTTTTCAAGTTCCGATATTTGCGAGAGCACTTCCTCATTATCCAAGGTTGCAGAACGAACAGTCATCACGCAGAGAAACACCAGAGTTCAATGCCAACGCAAAAAAAGCATAAAAATAAAAACAATATTTACTAAACTAAAATTT